AGATTAAGTCCTTTACAAACAAGATAGGATTGTAATTATTCAATTAATTCTTCCAATTATATCTTTATCAAGTAGTAGCCTAATACTTTGTATGAATAAGGGAAAATATATTGAACTAATTAACATAATTTTTGAGATGATGACAAAAATGCTAAAGAATTACAGAACTAATTACAAACTACAAATTGTAAGGTGGTGTTGTAGTGATCAAGAACACGGGTGGGGACAAACGGATGTATTTAGCACAACAATTGCAGTCTATCTCAACAAAATCCGAATACCATACAGTAAATCGTCAATTTGCAAAATATTCATGCATCAAACCAAACTGGACTGTTTCTGTTGCAAACACCAATCCACTGTCTCCTATTCCATTGTTCATGCATTTTCTTACAAATTCCATTGTGTTCTCGCTCTACCTTTCTTGATCTTCGCCATCTTTCGCTGCCAGACATTACGTGCTTTTAGCGCACGTTATATACTACTTATATCAATATAAGTAGCTCACACCACAGTGTGACAGATATAGTAGTAAATATAAGAATATATAATAATTCAGGAAATACTTCTTCCTATGGTTTCAAAAAGGTCATCGAAAATCTCCATTCAGTCACATTTGATGCAATCAGAACGTCTGCAATGATTTATTAAACATCTTCGAATTCTCCAAATAAGCTTTCTTTTCATCTCTTACATATAAAGAAGCTACAAAGATTTGGAGTTGGAAAATCTTCTTTACCATCTGCATACTGAAAACTAACTGTTCACACTTCATATTACGTAATTTTTAATAATTATTATTTAAGTAAGTCTATTTCTGCAAGCTTTGACATACCGCTCATATTAACATGGGTATGTCATCTTGATGTACGTTACTACTATATTTATTAACATATCTCTTTTCTTATATATCGGACTAGTCAGAAATCGGCCAAATGACAAACTCAGGTGATTCGCCAATAAATGGCTTGCATTCTTAAGAAATGAACCCATAAACTGATTCACGTATATTCCCGATTCGATTCATTTCTCATTCTTAGTCTTTTCATTCGAGTAGAGAGTTGGGATTGTGTATAGGAAGATCGGATATCGGTAAGAAAATCAGACAGTGAACAACAGAACATAACCTTATTGTCAGTCTGTAATTTTCATTAATTGTGACTAGTTATATAATCTATTTATATTGTTATCAATGACCCATAAACTGACTAAATTGGTTTAATATTTTTTTACATAACCATACAGAATATTACAATATATTAGTGTCTAATAAAGATCTGTTGTGAGATATCAGCTCACTGAAGACAATGGTATATGGTGGCGCAACTTCATGGATTGGTTGAAGTTAGACATTAACACCATTGGATGCCGGCTCAGTGGTCTAATGGTTAAGTGCTCGCGCGCGAAGCCAGTAGGTCCTGGGTTCGAGCCCCGCGTGGTGCGGGATCGTGGATGCGCACTGCTGAGGAGTCCCATACTAGGACGAAACGGCCGTCCAGTGCTTCCAGGTTTTCAATGGTGGTCTAGCTTCAACTGACTCATGATTTAAATCTGTGAAAATTTGTAAAATCTCCACAAACCCCTTCTGATAATAAAGATCTGATTGAAAACAATACTGTTTCTTGTTCTCTTGTTCCTATGCCCGGTTCCAATCAGCTACCTCAATGAGAAAACGAAAATTGAGTAGAAAGCTTTTGAAAAAGCAAGAACAAAGACTCTAGCATGAATTCATTTGCTTTTGTAGGTTCTTGTCAGCTGCTTACAACCTGTGATATTTAGTCATAATTACATAATGGGTTTAAATTAACTTCCATGTAAGTAGTTTAAACCCATTATGTAATTATGATTTTAAATATTACAGGTTGCAAAGCAACTGACAAGAACCTACAAAAGAAAATGAATTCATGCTATCCTACTAGAATCTTTGTTCTTGCTCTTTTCAAAATGATAAAGGGAACTATGTGTATGCAATATCTTAGATAGCTTTTATTGGTTAATTTGAATCGAAACAGATATATTAAATCATTTATTACTATAGATATATTCCTTTAGAAAATCAAACCACATTTTAAATTCATGATGTGTCTTTGTCTTGTATTAATCAAGTCAATTCTTGCCCAATAGCATGGAGTAACTGACTGTTATTTAAATTATTATTAGAAAGGGTTTGAGTTGTTTAGTTGTTAAGTTTGTATACTGAAATTGTTGTATATGTGCATCCAGTGTAAACTACCTTGATATAGATCGTATGCTGCAAGTTATATATAATGGGAGAATTGTGGCTAGCAGTGGAATCACGGAAATCAATTTCGAATGATTTATTTGGACTTGTCAGCTGGATTTATTTACGTCATAATGTTGATGTTCACACTTTATGTTTCTAAACATAAGTATATCAATTTTGACTGGCACAATAATTAAAGGAATTATAAATTCACTTGGTATTGTTTACTTGAATGTTCCCATTGAGGTTTAGGACTACAATTGATCAGTCTCTTATTGGCATATATGCATACTACGTGTATTGCCTCGATATTACCTTAATTCACAAGCATTCTAAGCAAAGATGGACAGTGGCTAGTGGCGAAATGCAGGACGCGCGTTTCGTCCTATTTGGAACTCCTCAGCTGGACACACCTTCATCTCAGAGTTGATATTTACCCTGGGCCTCGGACACAGGACTCAGTGGCTGAGTAGATAACGCTATGGCATGTGGGACGAACGGTACTGGGTTCAAACCCCAAAGTGAACACCAACTCCGAGATGCAAGTACATTCAGCTGACGACTCCCAAATTGGACGAGACGCGTGTCTTGGATTCCATTACTAGCCTCTATCCATCTTAACTTATAAAGGAATTATAGTCATTAAGTGGAACGCACAAACATACCGACCAGTATTACGTGTCTCATCGAAATGTATAAAAATTATAAGTCACACTAATATGATTGGATAATAATCTCCTTCACGTGACAGATCACATGTAACAGGGATAATCTACAGACACATCAGACCAGATCGACGTTTCGGGCGCTTAAACAACGATTTGATTGGTTAGTTATGAACATGACTAACATTATTATTATTAGCTAAGATAAGGAGGTTGCATGTTTAAAAATAACAAATAAACGAAATCCTACTTTGTATTTTAAAGTATTTGTGAATTATGGTGATATTGATAAGTGAACATGTTTATCTAAATGATGAATTTGAAAGTAGACTAGATACACACAGTTGAGAAATCCAACAGCGGTCGAAAATAATATCCAACTCAGTTAATAATAAAAGAATACGGCGAGACTCTAATTTATAGTCGACCTTTGAACGAATCTTAATTGACCTTGATCAATATTAGCTAATCAGCACACAGTTAGCAGAGTAAAAATATATTACACAAAACTAAGGAAATAAAGTGGATACACTTCTTATACGTGGTTCAAAAACTTGTCAAGGTTAGAAAGAGGTTCAGAGGTTCTAAAATCGTAATGCATGCAGTAGAGGAAATCATCCATACGGTTACAGAATGGTCGGTCTCTGGAGCCATGACAAAGTCTCAAAAACTCTTTCAGCCTCGACCACATAGTTTCAATATTGTTTATGTGCACTCCGGTTGTTGAGTGCACAAAATGCTACTTGTGGATAACGACACGATGCACATAACCAAGCCTATGTAGGAGTCTGTATGCTCTCCAATCATCCGTATATATTGTAGTTCCTGGCCTCAACCAGTGTTACTGGTGCTTTTATTATCCAGTTTGCAATAATTGTCGTAATTTGCCTTAGTTAGGAATTATATATGGGATTTTCATCACGAACTGACATCGGCTATAATGCCAGAAATTTATTAAGCCAAGTGCATGAAAGGCTTTCGCGTTAAAATCCGAGATCTATTATCTTGTACCTGATTGATTCGTCCACAAATTGTAGTCGCACCGTTTTATTTCTTATAGCCACTCAATTATCACATTTTGTACAAAATTCCCTGTGAACCGATCGTACGTTAACATTAAGTACTGAAATGGCGCCGTAACCTTGAAATCTCTAAAACACCTCTAATTGGCTCGTTCATAAATTAGAGTCTCGCCAAAATACTTTTAAAGTGACTATTGTTTGAGTAAAATTGAATTTTAAATGAAAGCAGACACTTAATGCACTCTAATTAGGACTCGTTATTAGATGATATATACCTACATCATCATGTTGATTTTCTCATAAAAATTTAAACCCAGATGCTTCCACTTTAAACGCTTTATTAATTTACTGAATTCAGATCGTTACTAATTTGTTTATCAGATCTGATTCTATTTGAAAAGGTTTGATCAATCTCTGTTATATATATATATGCATCTAAAGTAGTTTGTTTAAATATTGTCATTTAGTCAAAAGTTTCTAAGTAAAGTAGAGTTCAGTGATTGTAAACTCCACGCAGAAGTCCCTCTAGGATTACTGCTTTTCCTAAGCCCGGATAAAAAGGAAGAAGGTTGGGCATGAGGTTAGTGAATCCCATTCCGTAGAAAACTAACTCGCTCAAAAAAAAATCACCAACCAGAAAAAATAATTCAAACCAGGAATTGTAACTAATATATTGATTTAGATTTTCTGACGTTTCGTGACTAAGTGTAAGCCACTTCTTCAGAGGATAAATAACCAAATAAATATATATATTATTCTCATTGTTCCGGTGTACTATTTAGACTTGGATTAATTTTAATTTGGTTATTTATTCTCTGAAGAAGTGGCTTACACTAAGTCACGAAACATTAGAAAATCTAATTTTTCTACTCATTGGAATGTTACAAATATATTATTTATTTATAACAATCAACCCAATGTTCAATTTATTCGAAATTTATCAAATGAAACCTTGGTAATGATACCTATAATTTATTGATTACTTTAACATCCACAACAACAACACTATGCAAACCATTTCAATTCCCGATCATTTTTTGTATCATCTTTGTCTTGTTGATATGATCATAATCTTTTAAATATACTCACCTTTAATAAATAAATTGTTTCTATGGTATACTATAGTATAGTATAGTAATAGTATAGTATATTATAGTAGTGTACATTAATTTGTACAATTGATTATTCCACAAAATTTATTCATCATATATATTGTTAATTACATTTGAAATGATATAAATCCACAATAGAGGAAAGTAATTATTTCCCAATTTGTTCTCCTTATAAAATCAACTTCGATTATGTTGAATCAAAATAAAAGTTGGTTATGTTCATTTTAAGTTGAAAAAATTGATTTATCCCCAATATATATATACATATAACTGTCTGTCACACTATTCATTACCTATCAGGAGTTACACATGTCTCTAATCCCATACATATGTATGTCTGTACAACAATCTTTAAGGGATTTTCTTACCTCAGTAACATTTTTATGAAGAGGAACAAAAAAAAAAGATGATTATTTTCAATATGTAAGCTGAGAAGAATTAGGTTGTATACATATTAACAACATTTTAACCGATTAAAGAGTAAAGTAGAGTAGAGTAGAGATAACACTTTTACTATAGTATGTATGAATTATTAAAAGACAATTGAATAAAAAAAAGACTCCAAGTTTATAGGTCTAAGATAATGAAATTGACCGAAATTGTTTTCGGTAGCATTACATTCAATATACATATTACACTAAGTTGTCATAACTTATTATCTTGATGAAAAATAATTCTATGAAAAAATGTATTTAGGTTACATTAGAGAGAATGAAGAGTGGATTTGAAAAAAACAACACTTTTTAAAATAAGAATAAGCTGATGGTTGGAGGTAGTCAACAGGAAACCTTGGACCTAGGTTTCGTGTTATTTGGCACTCGTCAGCAAGGTGCACCTGAAATATTGAGGGAAGTGATGTTCCCTGACGAATTCGATCCCATCTCATGCAGTTCCACAGTCAGAGACGGTATCACTGAGCTACCCTAGCTGCAACTGGCCTCCTGTAGGAGTGCGATGTGTTTACAATTGATTGATCATTGGATGGTGATAAATGTCATGGATATCAAGTCCTTCTTAGTACAGATCGAATCTTGTCCTATTGACTACCTCCAACCACCATCTTATCTCAACATAGTGCACATAATGTTGAGTCACCTAGACTAGTGGCCACATTGCAAATTGGTCGATAGGATTCGATCTGCTCTAAGAAGGACCTGACATACATGAGATTGATCACCACCCTGTGATCAATCAATTGTAAAACTGTTTCATAAGAAAATTTATGTGCGATGCGTCGTTAATTAATTATGCATATATTGCTCTGTTTTGTATTGCATATGACCTAGTTACATGGATATTGTGATTTCTTATTTGTGAACAATGTACATAAACCTGGGAGCTTTTAAATCTGCTTACTGACTTGTGTTCCAATCGGTCATTGGGAATAGGAGAAGTTATGTGAACCAATAGGAGTTCGGGTTCTCGTCTGTTGTTCACAGTCATTTATGTCATTGATTAAAGCAATTGTCTTCGAGCTTATTAGGTGTAAGCTAGCATTCTTTATTAGTGGTCTGCATAATTGCAGAAACTGATTAATTAGTCATATAAAAAGTTAAAGTCGTAACAGTGGACACCCATTAAATAAGGCGTATTTAGAATTATAAGAGAACTGATACTTTTAGGTGGGATTCAAATCTCTGTCATTCAGAGTCACACTTAAGGATAGCTAAACAGCGGCGTTCTGATTATAAAACATCTTTCGTGTCACTGACATACTGACATTGACTAATCATTAGGTAGCCACTAATGTCATTTAGTCTTCAATTCTAATTGAATTCTGTCTGTCAGTTAACATCGTGACTACTAGTCTAGTTGATTCGGGATTGACTGCACAATGTTTGAATTTCGGATAGTTGGATTGATTGTCTGTGACCAAAGACGATCGACAATTTTACTCACGATTGATCAGCACTCATAAAAACACATACACACAAATACATTCTTCCCCTTTACTCATTTCGCATGTGTACTTGTACGTATATCTATCACTTACTATTTTGCCTGATGCCCATCTCTTTTTCACACTACACATTATTGTTTATTCTGGTCAATATTAAAGCTTGTGATGAGTAGTATTAGGGTGTTGGTGTGTTTGCCAACTCCGCTTCACTTCACTTTCCTGCTTTTCATCAATATCTGTCTGAGCAAATTCATCCGACCCAATCCGTATTGGGCTTTTATAATCGCCGTCGCTCAAACGGCGTTAGCCTATGTATAACGTACAAATTGAATGGAAGATTTATGTTCATAACATATCTATTTGTTCGTCCAAATCGAAGTCACATCTTAGGCCAAAAAATTTGTGAATTGCAACCAAACCAGATGACTGGAAGTACTATCGAAGTAAATCCTCCCCATTTTCCATTCTATAAGATACAAACAAGCGTTTTGCTTGATAAACTACCAACTAGCAATTATCACTCAATCTTATGTATTGATCCAACTAATCAATTAATCATTTTCAAATCAAGATTTGTCTCTTATGTTATCCAAATTATACAAACTAGATTTACCGGAAATCAGTAGTTTATTAAGTTTTAGGCAAAAATTTTATCCCATAAATGAAAATATAAAAAAGAGGCAAAAAACAATTTGATCATAGCAATTGCAAGGAATATATTTGTAGAATTCATATTTAAATATTCCAAAGATGTGTTATACTCACGTCTAAAGGTATGTATTTTTCATTTATTGATTTCAAGGACCGGATTTACTCAGTCTTCACTCGCATACATTCGTTATGATTACACTGACTTGCTTGATATTATAAGTTAGTTCTAAAACTGACTAATTGCAAACTTCGACATTGATAAAATAGCAAATTAAAACTTTTACAAGTAAAATTCATGATCCCTATATAGGATATAGATGAATTCAGCTGACGAATCTCAACTGGATTATTGATAAGTCTGCTACTGGGACGCATATTATTGACTTTCTAGATTCTTCTTATAACCCTAAACTACTTCTGTTCATTAAATTTAACAAAAGAGAAAAGGTGCAAAATTTGAGTTAAAGCTTTACTTCAAAGTTAGTTTCTGTACAGAAAATCAGAGGTAATTTTACAGGTTTGAACTTCCAAAACTTTCTGTAAACATACAATATATTGTAACCGTATAGGTTACAATCAAAGACATGAAACTTAGTCGTTCATTTTCTAGGTGTTCCTGAGAAGCCTCTATTCAACGGCCATCGGAAAGAAAATTTTCCTGACGTTTTCTAGTCTTCTAGTAATTTCAACAAATGATTTGTTTGAACTCCTTACCAGTCGAAACATAAGTCCTGAATTATGTTGTTAACTACCACTTAGCTTAACTAAAAGAGGTGTACAATTAACTGAAATTTACTGACAAACAAATCTTTCGATCTAGTGTGATGATGTAAAAATAATGGTACCCCCGAAACCTAATCTCTTACTAACGAGCCGCGGAATACCAGAAAACAAATCTAGGCTAGTCTGTGACTGCGGAGAAAGTATTTTTTGGGGCAAATACTGTTTTCTTATATACAGACTCACTTTTCAGCGATTAGTGATGAAGCTTAAATGATGATAACTTAAACGAATATCATGCTGAATAGATATCAAAACTTAGTGAATACATAGAAGGAGTTTTTAGAATACAATCGAATGTTGTACTGAATAATTATCATACTGAATTAATCCATCATCTGATTATTGATCGCTTCCCAACACAGCAGTTGAAAGTTATGGCAGAGTGAAGAGTTATTTGATCATTTTTTGGATTATCCTAATAATATCCACTCACAATAGTACCAGGGATCAAGCCGTTCTGTCAAGTACCTTACTTTTAGGCTATCGACTTGAATGTCAGTAGTTCATACTTCTAACTTCAACCCCTTAGTGACACTGAGAGAGGATCATTCATTATCTATCATTGTTCCGACCTAACAAGACCTTACTAGTCATGACTTCTCACTATATCTTCAAGGATTCTTCCCGAACATTATTTCCGGAAAGCATATTATTATCATTGTTAGTGTTATGTCTTGTGATGGTAGACCGATATCACGTTCCCAGTTATTATTCAGACTTCTGATTGTAATTTGAACTACTATTTACTCTATGGATTAGTATCTCTGACTCGGCCAGTTACATACCCGACTAGCACTATTGACTATGAGCCAACAGCTAGGTTTCTATAGACCCATTATTCGCTAACTTTTTTCCATAGCTAACCTTTGAGTCCATGAGTAGCACTCAGCATCTACGATATCTGTATTTCAAACAGATGTGTTTCATATATTGGCAGACTAGGCCTCATCACAATGTAAAATAAAAAAATTACAGTTGCACATTAACAAGTCAAAAAGTGTCTGTGAATAAAGCAAGCTGTAAGTAATACACCGGGAATAAAGTAGGAATAGTAAGTCTCATGACTGTAGCTTATATATTAACCGAAAGTTTTTGATAAACGGAATACATAGATATAGCAATCTACAGTTACTTAATAATCATACAATAAGAATATATATATATATAATCCACAAATTAGTTCTAGAAGTTACCGTTCATTCAATCTTCACTCTGGTTTAACAACTAGGATATGTTGCTTGTGAAGATTATTTAATGTAGAAATAAGTTGCATCACATACAGTTTTCAGACTGAATTTTCTCACAGGTCCTATGTAGGAGGAAATAATTACCTACAGATGAACTTTTTAAATAGGTTCGTATACTGTCGCATACAATGTTAGCAGGGTTATAATCAAATAGGTAACCATGTATATAATTAACAATTATAACCTGTTTCTAAAATGTCAATTATACAACTATTATAAAAATACAAAATAGTGGTCAATTACAAAAAGAAAAATAAACACATGTATACTGAACAGTAACAGAGACACAAAAAAAGTAAATCAATAACAGGGATTGATCATGTTTATGTTACTAGTACAATTTTGTGATTGGCAGTTAATTAAAAAGGGTCAGAGTCTAGGATCAAATAAATCTTAATTGATATGTGTTTCACTCAAATATTATTAGTTAATTTACACTTAACGATAGAGACTAACATCCTGAATACTTCTATGATTGAATTTATGACAGGATTATGAGCGTATACTATTGAAAAATTCAAGGTGTTCAGTATTTTCTGGTTTGCTAAACAAACAGTTTCAAATCAATTATATATATATACATTATCTACCGAAAAATCTAATAAAATCAGATTATTTTTTATCGGAAGGGTTTTGTGGATATTATAGCA